GGGACTAAGTGTGGTTGTTCGCACATGTAATCCCAACACTTCAGGAGCCTGAGGTGGGAGGATACTTTGAGCCCAGGAGTTTGTGACAAGCCTGGGAAACATAATGAGACCCTGTCTCTATGAAAAATAAAATTAGGCATGGTGGTGTGTCTGTAGTCCCAGCCACTTGGGAGGCAAAGGTGGGAGGGTCACCTGAGGTCGAGGTCTGAGTGAGCTGTGATGGTGCCACTGCACTCCAGCTTAGGCAGTAATCTCAAACAAACAAACAAAAACAAAAACAAACAAACAAACAAAAATCCAATCATGGGATCTCAAAGCAGAAGAAAGAGACCAGCATGGGGAAGGGGGATGGGTTGATCCTACAGAGACACAATTCTGCACTCAAACCACACCCACAAGAAACAGCAAGTCTCTCTCAATGAGCAATACAATTTGAAACAGGAATGTAGGAGAGAAAGAGTTAGATTCAACTCAACAGAGACAAAGGGCAGGGGCCTTTGGACTAAGGAGGGACAGGCATTTCTTTTGGGTTGAGAAGAGCCTTTGACAGTGCTCAGTCAAAACCCAACTTTGTCAAAGCCTCACTCACAGCGGCACTGAGGTATAGGTGAGATCCTAGTGAAGCTCCCCAAACTAGAAGTGGTTCCTGAAACAGGAGAAGGTTCAGTGGCCAGCACTGAAGTGGAATGTAGCATCCAGGAATGAGGAGCGTGGGATTTGGATTCAGACTGTCATGGTTGGAATCATGCTGTTGTCAATAACTGTGTGGCCTTTGGCAAGATACTGAACCTCTTTGCCTGACTTGTAAATGGAGATGACAACCCTCCGCATAACTTGCAGGGTTGTAGGGAAGATGGGCTGAGTTGGTTCACAGTACTTGGCATGCCGTAAGTGCTCAATCAATGTGCAATATTTTCTAGTGATTATAAATTCTGAGCTCCACTTTTAGTCAACATCTTCTAAATCATTATAAATTATGATGACTTTGAAATTAAACAGTCTGGTGAATTCACATCTTTGTTATTTTACTCCTTTGAGCTTTGGCCTCTTCACCTGTAAAGTGAGACTAATATCTACATATATAAAACACAGAGAAAGTGCCTAGCATGGGGACTCTTTATATTAATAACCACTTAATATTAATTTCCCAACCTGATAGTCACCTCTACAGCTATATTTCTCTTTTCCAGAGAGATGAAAAAAAATCCAGCAAAAAATGTTAGACTAAGTGGTGTGGTCCAGGACAAGACCACTTGGGTGGATAGAATGGAATTCTATGTGAGCTCACGTTTGAGTGGGATAGTTGATTGATTAAAGTAGTGGCAAAGTTTCTGTCAGCACTTTAAGTCTAAGATCTTGGGATTAAACAAAATAGTCAGAAACACAAGATTTCTTGAGCATGTCACAGAAAAGAAATTCCAAGCTGAAGACTTTCCCTTTGAGAGTGGCATTCTCAGTTACCTTAAATTCCAGTAGGAATGCCATCCACAGAAATGTTCCTGTTCACCGGAGCTGCCATAGTGATGGCCACTTTTGTTTTCGTGATATGAGACCGAGGCAGTGTTCCAGATTAGGTACCATAAGGAAACACTGGAGACATTACTGTAATTTAATTATTTAACTGACTACTGTAGTTATTTTTCAGCTACCCAGTGTTTCAGAGACCTTGAATTATGCCTGTTGGCAAACGTGTAACCATTGAAAATTCTTCACCGTCAGAAACTGGAAAGAAAAACTCACCCCTGTAGTTTTAGCTTTTTTGGTTTTGTACAATAATATTGAAGGCTGTGGATTAAGTACACTATTTAGAAATGTATATTCAAGGATTTAAGGAATTTTGATTCAATTTTGAACCACTCCATGACCCCTGGCTGGACCTCAGTGCAATCCCTTAATCTTCTGGCTTCTTTCTCCATCTGCACAAGATGCCTCTGGCAACGCACTGAGTGCAGTAGCCACAGGAATACGTTCAATAATAGGCTTAATATCACCACTCAGAAGGGAGTTAATTGCTCTTTTGTGGGATTCCATTAGCTTAACTGAGAATATTAGCCCAGTATTCTAAATGTATGATGAGCTATAAGAAAGAAGGGAGCAACAATTTAAATGTTTTGCTTTGCCCCTAAATGACCTGGGACAACAGATAAAGAATAAGGTGAAAGAAAGAAGCAGGAACAGAGGAGAGTGCTCTGGAAGTCAATAGAGGAGGAAAGAGGTAAAGGAATGGAGGCCCATGGGCTAAGAAGTGAGGTATAGGTGAAGACAGAGGCGGAAATGAAAAGATGGGAGAGGCAAGAAGAGAAACAGGAAGATTCCTGAGGCAGAGGAACAGCAAGAATGTGAAACGAAGATTCCAATCAGACAAAAGTTCATGGGGACCAACCCTATGGAGAGGAGCAGAGCAGAGGGGATGGGCAGGGTCAACCACTCTGGAAAGAGACGGTTTGCTAGGGCTGTGTCCCGCCCTCTCGTCCCTGGCTCTCTTCACATTTGGGGTACTCCCATGATCACGATCTCCAACACTAGGCTTTTGGCTTAGGGAGTCGGCTTTAACAGCTTTGCCATTTAGTCTCCCAAGAGTATAAAAAGTCTCCAAGACCCAGGGAGTTAAGCAAATGTTAGTGTGTTGTGGGAAAGTGTTCTTACTTCATGTTCTTCAAATTAAACAATGAAGTGAAGTCATAGAGAACAGGAAGTGATGGTAAACATTACAATGGAACCAAAGGGAAAATGACTGCTTTATGGGTATCTCAGTGATACCAATTGACTCCTCATAATTCTCTAAGCTTTGCCCCGTAAGGACAATTGAAGGCTAGAACTGTCTCACCATCACTCCTACTCCCAAAGTAGGCTCCTGTATTGGCTTTAATAGATTTGGGAGTGGTAGTAGAAATCATAATAATGTTAACATTCACAGCAAATATTTATTGCTTACTCTGTGTCAGGCACATGTGCATGTATCCTTCCAAAAGAGATCTGAGGTGGTCTCCAATAAGACGGCTTCTCAGAGGGGAGGAATAAATAGATATATACACCCTGGCTGAGCAAAACTACAGTAAATTTCATATAGCAGTAAGTGTGTAGATAATTTTAATAGTCCCTTTTTATAGAGAAAGAAACTGGGAAAACCAAGATTTAATATTACATCATTGGCTTGACTTCAAAGGCTAGGAAAAAAAAAAAAAAAAACTGCTGTAGGAGTCTCACTACTTACTTTAAACAATAGCAATTTTGAAGTTAATTACCAGAAAAAAATTAGCTCTGTCTGCCACGAAAACAGCCAAAACTGTTGTTGTGTATTGTCCCTCTTAACTTAGATATGTGACTATTGCTCATATAAGTATCCTTGAGACAAATTCCTCCCAAAGACTGAATCAGGAAAGACTTCCTCCTGCTGAAACTGTGGGACTCCCTCCACTTGACAATGAGAGCTATGCAAACCTTCACTTCCCCTATTTCACTGCTATGAGGACGCTTGGGTTAAGTTTTATGCTCAAATACTATTGCTTGCCGCAGCCAGAATTTCGACTTTCCTTTCTTTCTTTTTCTTTTTTTTTTTTTTTAAATATTTGTCTTTCACTGTAAATAAACCACCTTAAGTCTCTTTGGAGAAGGCACAGTATAAATAAACAAAAGGCAAAATGCAATCCTGTTGGGGCTAAGCTAGAGATATAATTTATCAAATTACTTGACATAGCACTCTGAAATCATTGTATCTAAAAGAGAATATTCTAAACAGAATTTTGAGCAGATACTATTTTTCATGGTCTTTGTGACATTTTTCACGTCTCTCAGATAGCATTCCAAACCACTTTGGGTAAAGAATATAAAATCTAGAGAAAATTAGCTGATTACTCTTATATGTCTTCATGTTACAAAGATATAATTAAAGTTTTGAATCTTGTCCAACACTGTGCTCTAAGATAAACCAATTTAAGTCTACATTTATCAGTCAGGCTTAAAATGAAAAATAGTTTCACTCATTTCAGTTACTCACTGGTTAATAAACTATGCTTAATTTGTAGATTTTTTTTTCTTCCAAAATTTATTCCAGGAACACAGCCATATCTTGTCCTGGTGACTGATAAACACTATATATATTAGATCACACATAAAGAGAAGCCTGTTTAAGGGTCAAGATGTAGGTAATTTAGTAACAAAACCCATCAACTCAAGGTTGCTGCTTTTGTGAGTAATTGATCCTTTCAGAAAACAAAGGCTTTCATTTCTAGAACTTTCATTACAGGTGTGATTATGATTTTTGTTTCATTTAAATCTTATCATACACAGACACATTTCAAATGCAATAGCATTTTTTTAAAAAAGCAAGGTAATTATCAAAACAAAAACAGAAGAGCCAGTAGCTGGAAAGAAGATCACAAATTTTTAGCACAAAATAATTAACTAAGAAGTCAGTTCTGCTTATTAAGGAAGTACTGACAAGCTCAACATTTTGCTACTTCAGTCCCATTCACTTTTAGCTTGTGACAAAACCTACACTTCTAATTTTGTGACTTACTGTATTTCATTATTTTTTCAACAAACATTTATGGAGATGAGGCTCTTTGTATTATGCAGTATAAGCATCAAACAAAACATATTCTTAACACTTCATGAAATTGCAAAATGTAATTATATAAAATAGTATTTACAACATAGACTGGTCTATGACAAAGTAAGTAAAAATAGTGTCAATCCGTAAGACTTGAAATTGAACTGAAATTCCTTCAAGAGTCCATACGGATTAATTCATATATTTATACAATAGATAAGAAAAATTTATTCTTGACAGCACAGACAGCAGTCAGGTGCCCCAAGCTGGGTTATGGTCTGGTCAAATATTGCTAACATATTTTTAAAACTCTTGCTTTGTTACAGAAATGTAAACTCTTTTTTCTCATGAAACAATGCTTATACCACAGCTCTTCAAATTATACCTCAGTATGGTATAAGGAATGTGGTGTTCCTTGGAAGCTGTGGCAAATTCCTAAGTTGTTTACCTGTAAAATGGGTATACATAGAAGGCAGGTCTTCTGTGACACTCACACAGCATAAGCTTTCGCGCATTTCTCTAGGCCTCCATCCCAGGCCTTGGCAGGAGGCTTGGCACTACATTCACCTGGTCATGTGATTTTGTGCAATTTGCAAAAGTAATATATTGTAGTCACAATTACCTGACATTGAGGTCTGTTTCCACTTGGACTTCCCCTCTGTCATTTTCCATTCTATTGGGTGGTACTTGGGCTGCCTGAACATGCTGTGTGATATGGTCAGGCTTCGTGTCCCTACCCAAACCTCACCTTGAATTGTAATCCCCACGTGTCAGGGAGAAAAGTGACTGGATTATGGGGGTGGTTTTCCCATGTCGTTCTCATGATAATAAGTGAATTCTCATGAGATCTGATGGTTTCGTGTTTGGCAAGTTCCTCCTTTGCTCACCCTTCTCTTTCCTGCTTCCTTGTGAAGAAGGTACTTGCTTCTCCTTCCACCATGATTGTAAGTTTCCTAAGGTCACCCCAGCCATGTGGAACTGTGAATCATTAAACCTCTCTCCTTGAAAAATTACCCAGCCTTGGGCAGTTCTTCATAGCAGTGTGAGAATGGACTAATACACAGTATTGGCCTTTTCTTTAAGAGGATCACCCAAGTTGCATAAACTGCAGACCCCACAAAACTTGCATCACTCCGTAAGTGTGAGAATAGTACCTATTTCACATGTGTGCTGTAAGGATTAAAAAACGTAATAGGCACATGATGTGTATCAGATGGATGCTAGCAACTATTACGACTCCAAATCTCCATCTATGTATTATTAACAAGGCCACAGAAATGAGCATTTTATATAACATGCTTAAAACTAAATTCTTCTCATGGAAAGGGATTTTTCAATCCCAGGCAACAAGGGCACATCATGTTTTTCTTGGGCCCTAGGTCTTTTTGCCTTCATTGAGCCTTTTACTCCATTAAAAAAAATAAAAATTACATTTTAAGATTGTATTAGTACAAAAACAAATATATTTATATATATTAAAATTCTTACACCTAAAGTTTTTTTCCTTATGATTTGAAAAGAAATTAAAATATTTTTTGTGGGCCTCTAAAAATATTGTGGATCTTAGGCACTGTGCCTAATGGAAAAGACAGTGACAGGATTGTGCAATATGAAAAATGATAAATTTCCCAAACCATCAAGGACTCAAGAATAAGGATAAACATCTTAAATGGGGTTGGTTTCAAGTACGTATAACAGAAAAATGTTATCCAAACAAGGTCCTAGGGATAACAGGAAGCGTTTAGTTTTAGGGTTCAAAATACATACATGAATGCAGCTGGCCTTTAGGACACTAATAGCCACCATTTCTAGCTGTGAAATACATATTTTTGTTTTGGAAGTCTACTTTTCAATAAATGTCCTTTCAGGTGTTTTGTTGCTCATTTAATTACGTAATCAACAGGGAACAGTTATTTTAGAAAACGAGCTTCATTTTGCCAATTTACAAATTGCTTTGGAATTGTACCCAAAGGTTTTTAAAAAAGACGTTGGCCTTGGTGCTGGTGCATCGCATAAATAACAGATGAAACAAACAAGCCGGTTTCCTACTCAAGGTGTGTCTGCAGAGTCCTGACTGCGTGCCAGGGGCTCTATCTGGCACATTTCTGAACTTTGCAAAATTAATTGTGCTGAAGAGAACACCATCAAACGCGTCCAGCATACAGCGTAAACATCTTCAGACCGTGATTCTGCGCCATCAAACGCTCTCCAGCTAATTTCATTTGGTGATTACGCTGCAAGAAAACCGAGGCCAAGTGAAACTGCGGAAATGGGAACAATGTAGCGAGGAAAAATCTCACCCCATTAAGGGATCCGTTTCTACTCCGCACAAATAAGCCCACCCCGCCTCGGAGGAAAGACTAGATGGCTCCAGGATGTTCTCGGCGCGTCCGCGGGCCCTCTCCGGCAGGGCAGCCCCGCACCCGGCAGGAGGAGCGAGACGCGGGCAGCTGCGCCTCGGCCCCGGGGGCGGTTTAGGTGATCCGTGAAGTCTCAGCCATCGTGCCCCGCCCCTCGCCCCAGAAGCTAGTTTTCGTGTATGCAGTGGTTACAGAGGCGGCGAAAACACGGCCCCGCGCTCTCCTCCCCTCAAGGCAGCGTTCGCAGCGGCAGCGGTCAGGGAGCCGCAGTCCTCGCCGCAGGGCCGTCGCGCACTCGGCCTTTCGCGAGGATTTTCCCGGGCTCGGCCGCCTGCCTCTCCCTCGCGCTTCCGTGACCTTCCGAGAGCGGCCTCGCCGCCGGAGCCTCGGAAGAAGCCCCACCCTCAGCGCCCGGAGCCCGTCGCGCGGTCCCGTTCCTCCGACTCCGGCCCCGCGGACGCGCCCGCGCGCGCGGCCGGGCATCTGCGGGGGCGCGCGGATTGGGGCGGGGCCGGAGGCGGGGGCGGGGCCGGGGCCGGGGCCGGGGCGGGGCCGGGCCCGCGGCGCCCCCAGCCGAGCGGCGTGCAGGCACCGCCCCCGCGCGCCGCAGTCCCGGCTGGAGCGACTCTGCCGTGGCGGTGGCCGTTACCGTTGCCTCTGGGCGGCTCTGGCGGCGGCGGCTCGCAGGGTTCGCAGAGCGCAGCGGGCCGCCCTTCGCCCGTGGCCGCCTCCAACAGCCTCGCGCCGGCACTGGGGAGGCGAGACGGCGGCGGAGGCGGAGACGGCGGCGGGTTGTGCCCGACCCCCTCCTTGGCGGCTCCTGCCCCCGGGCGGCTGCGGGCTCTGGGCAGCCCCGGGGCGGCGGCCGAGGCTGCAGAGCCGGCGTCAGGGGATGGCAAGATAGCGGCGCCGGAGCGGCCGGTGAGTGCGGGGGCCGGGCTGGCGCGGCGCGGGGCAGGGGAGCCGCAGAGCCGGGAGCGGGGTCCCCAGGGGCTGCCCAGGCGGGGTGGGGCAGCGCTCCCGGCTCTGCGAAGCGTCCTAGGGGAGTGACCCCGGAAAGCGCCGCTCTGGGTAGCGCCGTTCTCCGCACGCCCTTGGATCATCCTCGTGTCCCGGGGGGGCGCGGACTTCAGCGCCCAGAACTTCTGCCCCGCTCAGGGCAGTGAGTTCTGAGGCCAGAGGTTACCTGGGGAGTGGGAGGGAACTTGAAACATTTTTCCTTTGGAGAGGCGACCTGCCAGGTGATTTCGTGCCCCTGTGCTGCAGCTCCTCTTTAAACCCATTCCTCGTCCTTTCTGTATCCATAGTGCCTTAGACTTACCTGTATTTTTATGTGCTTACTTTCGAAGGTGTACTGGTTAAACCCAAAGTTAAAGTGTTGGAGGTCAAAGTTAGGCTTTGTGAAAGATGCCCTTTCTGTTATGTTGTGTAAAAGCACAAAGCTGGATTCAGGAGTTCTGAGCGACACTAAACTGCACATCACGCGTTCTGAATTTACATGATTAATCTGAATTAGCATGATTTTGCTCCCCGCATTCCGCTATCAAAAATATATGAGGTCTTTCATTTGCAGTTGAGTATCTTTGTGTTCCTTTTGAATGTGTTTAATGCAGTCAGATATTGATATAACCTGTACTGTCATTGAATGACATTTATATGGAAATCAGTTATTTGCATTTCTTTTTATGTGTCTTTAAAAGATACATTTTTTTCAATAGAAAAGTTTCAGTTTAAAGTTTGCCTTCTGATTCGTGTTCAGTTTCAGATTAGTTTTTAATTTTAAAAAGTATTTGCTTGAAGGAAAATCAATGTGATATAGTAGTATCGTTTACGCAGGGGTTCAGAAATAGTACAGAAATTAAATTTAAAGCAAACCTTTCCTTTTAACAAGTGAAAAACCAAGGAGTTTTTTCAGCGTGAATGCTACTTGCCCTTCCCCTTACGTGATTATTTTGCCACAGATCTGAAATTGCATTTCACTATTACCAGAGGGTTTCTTGTCTAAGCCTGGCAGAGAAAAGGAAGCCTAAGTATAATGTGTTTTTTAAAAACATGAGACAGTCCTTTTACTTGTTTCTTACATTAACTTTCTGTATTATAGTCGGGGGCAACTGTTCATTTGGAAACTTCATTAGAGAGTAGTTACAAGCCCAGTTTAAATATATGATGTGTTCTTAAGGTGATCTGAGTACCTATTTCCTCTCCAAGAATTGAATTGAGACTTCTTTGCTTTGTAATAGGTGAGATCACAAGCAAGCCTCTAATTAGTGCATACGTATCTTCTGGGGAATGAGAATCAGGGACTGCTTTTGTAGGAGCAAAACTTTTGTGATTTTTGAAAAATTTGCTTCTGAATGCTCATCCTTGACAAATATGTTGGTAATTGCATGCATTATTCTTATGTTAAAATTTATTGTACTAATTTGTGCAGCAGGTAATCTGTTCACACTGGAGAAGATTCAGTAGATATAAAAAGATACAGAGCAGAAAGTATACCTCTCTTCCACCACGTTCCACAGCACCCAGTTCCCCTCTCCAGGAACCAAGATTACTGGCCCATTGTGTATGTCTTTCCAGACATAGCCTGTGTTCTTGTAAACATTTTATATGTGTTCTTTTTGTTTGTATTCGCAAAGATGACGACCCACTATATACTCTGCACCAGCTCCCCCTACCTCCTCTTCCCTCCCCAGAGTACTAAATCATGGAAATCTCCATTGGTATCTAAGAGAGCTACCTCATTCTCTAACAGCTGCTGAGTACTCCATTAGGGATGGACCATAATTTATTTAACTTCTTTATTGTAATATATGTAGGTTGTTTCTAATAATTTGCTGTGAAATTGTAAAGCATTAGTTTTTGAGGTTTTTAAGTGGATTTGGTTATTCCCAAAGGCCTAAAGGCAGTAGTCTTTTGTTTCTTTATGTCGCCTTCCAGGAAATAAATGTGCCTTCTCTCCAGCATACACTGTTTGCTTCTATATAACTTCACAGTGATCCATAAGAGTTTTTGGCATCTTTGCTGTGAAGTGGGAGCCATGATGGTCAGTAACTAATGTCATTCCCTGGGTAACCACTTGGCTCTTTGTTTCAACAAAAGAAAGGAAGGAATAGATACAAATTTTAAAGAATAATCTATAGGAAAAATTCTTAAGTGTTTAAATATTTTTTTTTTTTTTTGAGATGGGGTTTTGCTCTTGTTACCCAGGCTGGAGTGCAATGGCACGATCTCGGCTCACCGCAACCTCCGCCTCCTGGGTTCAAGCAATTCTCCTGCCTCAGCCTCCCTAGTAGCTGGGACTACAGGCGTGCGCCACCATGCCCAGCTAATTTTTGTATTTTTAGTAGAGACGGGGTTTCACCATGTTGACCAGGATGGTCTCCATCTCTTGACCTCGTGATCCACCCGCCTCGGCCTCCCAAAGTGCTGGGATTACAGGCTTGAGCCACCGCGCCCGGCAAATATTTTTGAATATGGAGAAGTGGCTTATGCCTTTGGTTAAATTGAAGATGAGGGCAGTTATGTTTCATAAAATTTGGTTGTTATTAGGCACTCAAATCCTGCCTGCTGTAGATTATCACCAGTGTCTTATATTTCAATGTTAGTATAACATGGTTACAAATTTTACAGTTCATGAGAGGGTTAATAACTTTTAAGGGGAAGGATGCTTTTAAAAAATATTTAGCTCTTTTCTTTAAAATGAAATATTGGAGTCTCTTGTCAGCATGCTTTTGAAAAAGGATAAATTGTAGAAGTAATGCTAATACTAGAAATTGAGCCTGATACATGACAAAGTTTGAACATTAGCCAGTGTTGAGCTTTAGTATTTTCATTATGCTTATTTTTGAGGGCTATTTTTTAGGACCAGTGTAAGCTATGATAATCTTTTAAAACATACATATATGTATAATATCTATTATATATGTGTGTGTGTGTGTGTGTGTGTGTGTGTTTGTGTGTGTGTGTGTGTGTGTGTGTGTGTTTATATATATATAAAATGGTCCAAACTCTTCTTTAAGGCATTCTCTTGCCTTTTATTTGGTATCTGTTGTTGTGATACAAAACTGCTAATGTCATCTGTATTTGTTCTTCTTAAATAGTTATTTGTTGGGCATCTGTTAATATTTCAGACAGCTTTCTAGGAACTAAATTATGGCATTGCCCAAGACAGACAGACCCAGCTATAAAGTCACATCTCAGCAAAGGAGATGGATAAAAAGCAAAGATGCAGTAAGTGATAAGTGCTGTGAAAGAAATAAAGCAGGGTTGCATGGTAGAATGTGACGGGATGTGGGCTGCTGTTTTACATCAAGTGGCCTGAAAAGCCTCTCTGGGTGGAGGGGTCTGAGCTGAGAGTTGAATGTTAGGGAAGAAGCCTTGTGATTTTGGAACTCTGAAAGAAGAGTGGCTCAGGCAGAGGGAAGGGCAAGTGCAGAAGCCCTGGAGCAGAACTGAGCCTTGCATACCCGAGGGACTGTGGCTGCAGTTGGTGAAAGGAAAGGAGGGAGTGACAGGCAGCAGAGGAGTGGGCTGGGGTTGGTGCCCATATGTGTTGCCTATGTCAAAAAATGTGTACAGAAGTTGGAAAGATGTGAATGGTGGAGTTCCTCTCTAGGCTGGAAGCTCCAGGGAGGGTAACAACACATCTGCTTGTTACCCATTGCATCTGCAGCACCAGGAACCACTGTCATCACAGAGTGGGCTGTGAATAGTTATTGAGTAAATAAATGATGAGAGAATTTACAAAATAATCTTACCTGCATTTGGTCAAAAACTTAGAGTTGGGAGTCTTTAGTTTTTTAGCCTGGCTATGGCCTTTGACATTAGTCAGTCAGTTACTGTTACCACTTTTCTTTCCAATTATCACTTTAGTCAAATTGTTGCTTTAAGTCAATTACACCTGACTGCTCTTCCATGAAATTCGAGTGTAAAACCTTAAAAACAAACCCTTTTCAGTAAATTACAGTGATTTATGAGAGATTTTCAGAAAGATGAGCATTTTTATTCTACATAATAGCCATTTGTACAAGTGTAGGATTTCAGAGATGCCTTTTGTTTGTGTGTACTGAATGTTTTAATTCTTTGGGCCAGATGACAGACTAATGAGTAGATAAAATACATGTAGGTACTTTATTCTTACAGGAGGAGTATGTGCCTGCCCTATAGGGAATATCAAGAATTTGTGGCATTTCCTTTTCCCAACTTCTAATCTGTCATTCTAAATATTAATGAAAGCTTGGGAAGTGAGTTTTATGCCAAGCAATTGTTATAGATGTCTAATAAGAGTCTATGTCTTTCTCCTGATGTAACTTTTGGGCTCTTGTTCCATGTTAAAAGTGTTATAATCTTCCAGAATGATGGGTTTTAACTTTCTTATTTCCTATCATAATCGATTAATGCCTTAGCATAATAAGTTGTTCCTACTTATGACAATGTTATCTTCCAACTGTTTCTCTTAAGTTCTGTGA